CATAACCATCCTAATCTTCTTGTTTCTAAGCTTGCTTCCTCCTCGATCCCTGATAACCCTCCTAGGCGTCTTAAAAGAAAGTGGTCTCGTGACCTTCTAATTTAGATACTTTATTAGATTGATACCAATGGGTAGATTCTCTACAAGCCTTGTCATGTCATTTATTTCTTTGTATTACATTTGCTGAATGTATATTAATTTGTACAGTTTTAAATTTCATAAATAATAATAATAAAAAAAACATTTTTACTTACACCCACTGTTTCCAAAATGTTTTTATTGATGACACTAAAGCTCGTCAATAGCTACTAAATAAATAATTAAAATCGGTTGAGAAACAATGGACTAAACTATTTTGTATTTTTCTATTTATACAAATAAAGTTTTTCTCTCTAGTCTGAAATTTCACCGACGTTCTCTTTTCAGAAATAATTCTCTCATAAAGTGAGTCAGTAAAAACTGGTTCTTATAATTCATCTCTCAGACATCAAGTGTATACTTTATTAGCCTTAATTATTGAAATAATTTTGAGTCCTTTTGCCGAATTCACTTCATGAATGAACTCGTAATTGTAATTAGTTCATTAATACTGCGTAGGCGGGCCATAATTACTAAGAATAATAGTCTAAGCTAAGTTACTCCGCCAGCTGTTTATTGTAACTGCCTTTATACTATTAGTTCTCACATTGTAATATTTAATTATAATTCGTTATAGAATAACCTATTGTAATATATAAAATCAGAATTTAGTATATAATAATTTTATAATTAAATTGTATGTTGGTTTTTCATTTTTTGTCTACTGATTCAAGTTAACTTTATGTTCATTGAAAATCTACACTATATACGTTTTTTATCATCAGAGGCCGCTATAAGGTCAGGAAGTGCTAATGGAACACGCAACAAGAGTTTGTGGTGCATGATCCTTTTTATCAAATGATGAGGAAAAAGGTGGCCTAGAAAAATATTGAGCCATCTGGCTTGACCTACATCTCCAAAATTGAAAAATAACGAAGGTCACCTTTTTTACGATTTTGTGCTCAAATTATCTTAGGATCCAAGTGGAAAACAAATGGATATTTACGAGATTTTAGTACCTAATTAAATAGTCAAAGTTTGCCGATCTCCAGATTGAAAACGTCCCAATTTTGTAAATTTTCGTAAATAAAATATTTGTATGTTAAGATGAGATGAAGCTATTTGCGGAGTTTCAGGTGAATATTAATAATTTGATAAAAAGGGGTCTGTGCCACGGACTATTAAATGATCACAATATTTTAAATTGTAATACATATGCAGCTACTGAATTGACCCATTTCTTATGAAAAAAAATTATCTCTAAAAGTTTTATTACTCGTGTAATTACATTTCTAATAGGACTTCAAGGATCACGTAAACACCATTTCATATAGGTAGTTAGTTTCTTTCTTTTTCTTCTCAAGTATTTACCGTTATAGAAATAATAATAAACTAAGGTATGTGGTTTAGACCACAGGATAGAAGTGGAAACATCTACAAAGCGAGATTAATAATATGAAATATAAATCATAAATAGTAGCTTAATATAAAGATGGTGAAATGCTGAATATTTCCCTCGCTTACAGTATGCAGGTCCGATTTTTAGTTTCTGGAATATTTTAATTCATATCTTCTATAAAACTCAATATCATTTGGTTTTCGACAATTTTTTTTTTCCTTTTCGCCTCTCTAACACGTCATCGCGTTAGGATACAATTTTAAATAGTAGCCCATTATAGAGAGGATGAAATGTTCAACAATTCCCTCGCTCACAGTATCCAGGTCCTATTTTTAGTGTTTAAGATATTATAATCCATCTGAAAAACAGGTCGAAAGTGCAAAAGAAAATTTCACTTAAAAAAAAAAAGTTATTGGGTAAAACCCTAATATTATATCCTGTTTGTATATAATACTCATATATATAATGGGTAGATATAAAAATATATCAATTTTTTTTTTGTTTTAGTTGAAAATTAATACATTCTACCTCATTGGAGGGCATTAATATTAGTGCTACATTAAACATTCACACAATATGCCTATTTACACCAGTGCTATATCAAACTATATTCTTGTTTATGTATCTCTGAGGCTCCTTAGCCCACATTTTTGTCTCTCTGTATTATTCTAAAGGGACTCCTTCCCAGAATAAATAAAGCATTATTATTATATATAACTGAACAATATAACTGAAATCGAGATAAAAGAAAAAGAGTTGCAGAAAGTAAAATAAGAAAATTAACGTACATATTTAAAATAAAATAATAAAAAAAATGTTAGAAAGAAACTAAATGAAATTAAAATAGATAAAACACATTGACACCTATATACAATATTTACATTCGCCCAGGGGACTCTGAGTCATGCTTTGTCCCCCAAATGTGGAAGCAAAGGCAGGACTCCAGGAGATCCCAGTGCTTCTCTCCCAGCTGCGTCACTTATCATCTTGAGTTCACAACTGGTATTGAGTAAAATAATGGATTAGTATAAGTTCCGAGATAACTGTCTCTTATTGCCTTAGTAATGCCTAAACTGAAAGGATATTTTCCTAGGAGAAAAGAAAATCATTTTTAAAGTAAATTGCAACTTTGATAATATGAAATAATATGTAATGTATGAAAAATCACCAATTCTGTGTGTTGAATAGATTTTCTTGATAATATTATATTGTACGTACGAAAACGTTTTGCTGATATCGCTTGTACGTGTAATACATTAGGGATAAGTTTAGCTGTCTAATGTTCTAGTGCTTATTGGTGTACTGTTGTTATATAAAATTCTCTAATATGTATTATGTATTATAGCGATATGTGTAATCTATCCTTAGTTATATTGAATTATTATTAATATAATTGAGGTAGAATAGTTTACAAATTTAAAATAGTAAATAAATGGACGTGTTGGAAGGCACAAGGTTAGCTGTGGGAACACTCTTGCCGCCTACTTTGTTTACAAGCTCGTATTGAAACGTATGTAAAATTTACATAACTGACTTGTTTTGTCACGACACACGGAGCTTTCTATTTTCCAGAAATTCTCGAGAACTCCGTTCCGTGGGAGAATTTCTTCTAATGATATTATATCATGTCTAGTGATAAATACCTCTCTGTAAAAGCTATATTATTATATTATATCTCGAGAAGTTTCATTAACATATCGTTTGCTGCAAAATCGAAACGTTTTAACGCCCCTAAAGGAATAAAATAAATTTGCTTTAAGTTAGGTAGTTATGAGTAGTGTTGCCCATAATCGGTCTTGGACTTGAACTTTGCAAGACCATGACCAAGACCTTCAAACTGTTGCAAGACGAAGACCAAAACTGGTAAAAAAAATCTATTTTTTATAATAAAAATCAAGCCAAAATAGTTACTAATGCTTGATAATTTTCGTTACTATATGTAACCAATATACTTTTTCATTTAACTCTTCTGATTTTTCATAATTGTGGGTAGATAGTTGACTGTTGTGAATAATGAAGAGAAGGATGATTGGGGCGATCAATCAAAAATAAAAAAGCAAAATAAATAATAATATTTATTTTAATATTCTCCGATATTTCGGCTTGAAGTAAAGGCCTTCATCAGGACTAAGAAAAGAACCAGATAACAAAATGTGAGAAACATAAACAATGTAAATAAAAAATTAAAGTAAAATGGTGTAGATAAATGGTAAAGTGGGTAGAATAATGACAATAACAAGAACTACGAAATAAATATTTTTACTTTATTTTTTACCAGCATTGCTTATGTTTCTCATACCTTGTTATCTGGTTCTTTTCTTAGCCCTGAACTTCAGATCGAAACCTCGGCAAATGTTAAAATAAATATTATTACTTATTTTGCCTTTTTATTTCTAACTGATCTCTCCAACCATCCTTCTCTTCTAATTTTTTATTCGGGCTTAGTTAGGTTTCTCCTATCTAAAAAAAATACAGTAATATTTCTATAGTAATAAGCTAATAGGTAACTGCGAGACTCTTGCTCAAGACCAAGACTGAGTTTGCAAGACCAAGACTCTTCTCGGTCTCACATTTTATTTGGGTAACAATAGTTATGAGTAGACCAGCGTAAAACCTGTTGGTCATCTACACCTCCCATATTTTGAAACACCTGTATAAATATAGCTTAGAAATATAAATAATACCAAGAAGAGAATAGAAGACAATGAAATAAAATTAAAATCTACTAAAAACATTAGGTTGAAACTTATGTGGTTTTCAGTTGACAGAATGACTCCATTTTTTTTTTTAATTAATTTTAGTGATATTTCTAATTTTTCTATACTGTCCACTACATTCTACATGAAACAGGGAAGATGAGTATAATTTTCTTCTAACGATGAGATTCATGTATAATTCCTAGTACATGATAGTTTTAATTTTAATTTTTAAATTACGATATTGATATTAGATAATATCGAAGTAGGTACTATCTATTGTAAAATATCGAATATCAGCAAGAAATAATCGATATTTGGATTATAAAAAAGTTAATAGGATGTATGAAAAAAAAATGACCGTTTTTCAATCAAATAATTGTATTATTAATTTATTTGATATAAAATACAATTAATACTCAAAGTATAGTCTATTGTTATCTACCATCATTAGCCAAATGCTCGATCCCTTGCTGATACCGTTCTTTGGGAATATTATAAAAGAAATCTTGGAACGCAATTTCAACTTCAGCAAAATTATCAAATTTTTTCTCTTGAAGAAAATAGACCATGGATCTAAATAAGTAGTAATACGATGGTGCGAGGCCTGAACTATATGGTGGATCAGGCAGGAGTCTCATATCAAAAGTAGTTTTCAATATATTTTTACAAATTTCTAACCTATTAGCTGATTGCTGAGGAGTAAGTTCGTGAGGGACCCGCCTACTGCTCATTTTCACCTTCCTCGTGGAGAGTAGATGGCTAACAGAATCTTTCGACCCAACACACTCCCTGGCAAGTTCGTCAGTACTCGTAGGCGGATTTGACTAAACAGTTTCCTGTAGAATTTGGTCAATATCCATTAATGGTCGCCCCGGAGCCCTTCTTCCTTTCCAACGTCGTATCTCCACCTCTAAATACCAACGCCACGCAGTGCGCTGGTTAAGAGCACCTCCCTCTTCAGCTTCAGCAGCTGTGAATTTTTGTTTCTAGTAATGCCTTGAAATTACGAGATATCGTAAAACACTGTCATGTTACTTCTTTGAAATAAATAAAGTGTGGTTTTTTTTAAGAAGTCGATTGGGATTAAAAAAGCTTAGAGAATGCTCTAAAGGGATTATTAAGTATTGGTAAGTAAATAGGATTAAAATATTTACAGTCCTTTGATATCTTGAAATTGATAAAACGGTCATAACCCCCTCAAAACTTCAAGTTTCACGTTTCAGGATACGTAGAATTCGAAAACCGAATCAAATTTTTTTTTGTCCGTCCGCCGTCAGCGAATTTTCTCCGAAGCTATTTTTTTCACAGATTTTTTTCAAATATGGATTTAAAATTAGAGGTCACCCGAGGATGATCCTGCTTCATCGACGTTTCTATCCGCCTTTTCCTTTCAAGATGGCGACCGAAAAACTTGCGTTACTAAAGATTGTAGCGCCTAAACGAATGTACAGATTTCAATGAAACTTCGCTAAAGTCTTCTTCTACCCTTTAAATGTATCTATTTAACATACTTCAACGAAAAGAAGCTGGAAAAAAAGTTACGAGGGTTGGTAAAATAAGATTTCGAATAACTCAAAAAGTATACACTTTTTTGTTGATATTGTATGGTTATTTAAAAGTTTACGGAATTTCCTAAAAAAAACAAAAAATAAATCGTTAAAATCGGACAATTATGAGCAATGATATGGTCTCTAGATGTTTTTTATATGTTGTACTGCAAAGGTTGTATCCTTTGTTTTGGTTTTTGATTTTTGAATGTGTTACTGAAGTATTGCTACTATTACTAATGATTAAAACAAAAAAAAATTAGTCCATAATTCGAATCACCTTTTATTTCTTTTTCTTTGTCACAAGGAAGGTAATGTTACTATTAATATAATAAACCACTGTGAAATAATTTACAGCTGTTTTTTTTATATACTCTGTTAGTTCCGATTTAATATAAATTCCTGAAATTACTGTGTGAAAAAAAAAGAAACCAATTCTTCACCATTATATATAATTATAGACAGTACATTAGAGATAACACTAAATATCTAAGTACTAATTTACCCCTAACCACAGCGCCACTCCTACCTTAGCGAGGAACGTCATCGCCTCAGGGTCATGTGACCAACTCTCTTTGCAGAGCCACCCTGATAATATTTGCAATTTATTTAATAGCATAATCGAATCTATTATCGATTACCTGGGAGAGTATTTTAGCTTTCTTTTTACAATAATGGATTATCATCTAGAGAAACGTTGACATTTTGATTTAGTATTATTTATTTATAATATGTTGAGGAAATCGATTTTCTCACAGACATGATAACCCTATAATTTCCTATACGTGAGTATGATAAATTAAAATGGAGTATTATTATATTCAATTTAAACTGGAAAGCAGATAGAAACGCCCACATGAAAATCTAACTAATCGTTGTTGGAAGTAAATTAGACATAATAGCTTACAGTAAGCATCATGTCTCTCTTGGATAGTAAATGCGTTGAATATTCTTTTTTTTCAGATATTTAGCAAAATTAGCTGAAAATAATTTTCTAAGCTATGTCTTATTCGATGTAACAAAATAAAACCAAAATTTAGCAAGCATTCAAAACAAAAACTACCGACGATATTCTGTAGAAGTTATATACAGGGTGTCTCGGTTCTTGATGACCAAACTATGGAGGATGATTCTAGACAAAATTTCTAACAAAAAAGTTCTTTTAATGCATGGGCCAACACCAAACGAAAAAGGAGTTAAGACCAATTTTGTGTTTTTTTAAAGTGGTCATGGTATTTATTGAATAAGAAGAAATTTGCTCAAAAATTTCCCAAGATGTTTAATTTCTAAGTACACAGTTGCAGTTACATATCCATACTCTAGAAGCATGTCTCTATAATAATAATAATAATGGACGAGTCCCTTAGAATAATACAGAAAGACTAAAATGTGGACTAAGGAGCCTCAGTGATACATAAACAAAAATATAGAATAAGTGAATGGTCAAAATAATAAGAAATTATAAGTTACTTTCTAATTTAAATCAGTTAATAATAAAAAAAAAATGAATAATTGAAAATAAACATAAGTAAAAATGATGAGAAACGATCAGATAATTTATATACATATTTACAGTAGTAACTATTTATAATTTCATGGGGAGTGGATGGATAAGAAATGATTCAACAGTCGGGTTTTAAAGGTAGGAAGGGTTTTGAATTGACGGATGTCAGGAGGGAAGGAGTTCCATAGGGATGAGGATCGGATAATGAAAGATCTGTCGAAAGCAGTGGTTCGGTGGGCCCTTACGTATAAATCATACCGGGAACGAGTATTGCGGGAACGAAAAGAAGATTTGAATTGAAGGAGCTCCGAAACGTATGAACGACGGTGGGATTGGATGACTTGAAAGAGGAAGGAGGCCAGGAAATACATACGAAGGTAGGAAGGATAAAGCCACTACAACCCTGCATAAAAATGGGAAACAGAGGCGTCCCTTGGGATCCCGAAGATGAATCCTACAAAGCAATTTATCAAACGTTTTAGTTTCGCCTCGAGATCCCCAGAGACCCCCCCATATACCGTACAGCAATAGTCAAAGTGGGGAAAAATTAAGGAACCCCTAGGAGCCTAAGGGTTTCAAGGGGAAATAGGTGACGGGGCGTAATTTAGACGTTTTAAGGTGGAATTGGTACGGCGGGAGATGTTGGATATATGATTTTTCCAGGAAAGCATATGATCAAAAATCATTCCAAGGTTTTTGATAGGGGGATAGAATTTGATGGGATTATCATGTAGGAACAGAGTTGCAATATTAGGAGCAGTTTTAAGGAGGTGATTAGAGCCTATTAAGATTGCCTTCGTCTTTTCTGCATTCAAATTCAACTTGTTAGTTCTCGCCCAGTCACAAATCCTATAATTCCGATTCGCAAAATAGTTCGGCATAATGATAGGCTTTACGTTATTAGACCTCCTGAAAGTCCCTTTTATCATTGATCTTAGTAAATTTTACTAATTTTTTCTCAAAGAAACTTTTGTTTATTTTGCAACGATGTAATTAGAATTTAATTAATCTGAACATTTTTTGAGAAATTCCTTTTTGTTCAATCAAAAACGTGACCACCTTAAGAAAAATACAAAATTGATCTTAACTCCTTTTTTGTTGGAAATTTTGTCTAGATTCATCCCTCAGAGTATGGACATTTAGAAGGAGACACACATAACATAATACCTCCAAAAGAAGCTGAAAAAAAATTTACGATAAATGAAGAATTTTACTTGCGAATTACTCAAAACCTACACACTTTTCGGTGATTTTTATTATTAATTATTTCAACGGTAATTAAATTTTCTAAAAAGAAAAAATATATACATCGAATTTGGAGCAGTATTAGTACAGAAATAGCGTTGCGATATATCTTTGGTTTATTCTTTTCATAACTCAGTTAAATTTCTTCTATTTGTTATACCGCTTTTACAAGTTGAATAATCGATTATAAACTAAACCTATTTTTAAAATTACAGCTCAGCAATTACAGCGAGGTACAATGAGTAAGGTTAATGCGTCATAAGTTAAGTTATATTCTATCTTTAGTGCCAAACCTTCCCACTCGTACATCTTTGGCCTTCACCATCCATTGTACTGTACGATGGTTGTTTACATTGCTAAATTTATAAGTGAGGCATCTTTTGTTGAGGATAAGTTTAGACTTAGCTCTTGCCAATGTTAACAAAATAGGGAACTGTTGGGAAAAGTTATTTTAAGTAATTAAGATAATTTCATATTTCATTAAAAAAAAACAATCTTATTCAACAAAAAACGTGACTAAATTAAACAAACACAAAACATGGATTTTCTACTAGTCTGTGGGCAAATCTCTTTTTTATCAAATTATTAACATTCGTAAATAGCTTCATAACGTCATAACTTGCAAATATTTTATTTACGAAAATCTTCGAAATTTGGACGTTTTCAATTTGGAGATCGGCAAACTTCGTCTGATTAATTTTTTTATTTATTTAGAATTATAACAATCTGTCACGTGGACAATAGTTTTTAGTGGTACATGAACACATTCACACCATATATACAGAAAATATAAAATTAACTAAAGTAAAATAATAATCAAAAACTATGTACAATAAAAAAATAACCTAAAAACAGTCATATACAATATATACAATTGGGCAGTTAACCCCAAGCCACGCTTCTCCCACAACTATAGAAGGAAAAGCAGGACTCCAAGAGATCCCTGCGCTACTCTATCAACCGCGTCACTGGTGCCAGTGGAGTTTGAGCGATAGCGCTATAGCCACATATACTCATGTCTTAAGTGGAGAATCTGGCTATTGCCAGAACTCCAAGATATATACTTTTACCTTCGAGGAGGATTGTAGGGATGAGTGGAACTAGATAGGGATTGGGGGTTTGCATGATTTATAAGGTTCTGATGGAATTTGGAATTTTTTTTAGAAATAAGGTCGTGATGTAGGATTTTGTTGGTTACATAGAACGGAGCATCGACTATTGTTCGGAGGACTTTGGACTGAAAGGATTGGATGCGTTTGATAAAATTTTGCGGTCCCCCAAAGTTTAAGTCCGTATGTCCAAATAGGTTTCAGGATTGTCTTGTAGATCAGTAATAATCTAAACAGTCTGTTTAATTAGATACTAAAAACTCATGAATATCAATTTCCTTTCCACGTGAATCTTAAGTTAGTATGATCACAAAGTAAAAAAAAAAATAAGGTGGCCTACCAAAATATTGGGCCATTTGGCAAAAACCTACAAAATATTTTTGTAGGACACCTTTTTTTTTCGAATTTATGATCATATTGTCTTACGATTCAAGTGGTAAGCAAATAGGTATTCATGAGAATACCAAAATGCTCAGGAATGGGATGTTTTCAATCTGAAGATCTCCAAACTTTGTCTATTTAATTAGATACTAGAAATTCATGAATAGCAACTCAGAAAGTTTTAGATGAATGTTAGTAATAAAAAGGGGTCTGTACCGCGTCCTATTATTTTATCTCTCTATCTGCATCCTTAAAGATAGAGAGAAAAACTGCCTATGTCGGCCTATGCATTCTGATTGTAACTTCTTGCTAGGCGGACTCTTAAAAGACTTACAAGCGCTAAAAGTTATCTTTAGTAAACCGTTATTTTCTCAGGCGAGCTAGGGCTCACGTAGCGTAAAACACACGTTGCTTGTAGAAGTGTAATCTATAGAAAGCTCTCCCATGGCTCCACGCTTTCGGTCCACCGTAATTGGGGTTAGCGCTTCCATTCGCTGCGTATTCAAACCAGCCGTGTCTTCAGGCTTGTTCCCTGTGCGTGTAATGGCTATGTTTAGTTCTATGAAAAGTAAAAGTTCCTTAATATGCTGGCTTGATAACATAATTATACTTAGATACCACTTCAAAATTCCAAAAACTAATTTAATTATTCAATCCTCTTTCAGTCTCCACTGTCTTCTAATACTAGTGATACGGCTGGAAAAGTGGCACTGGGATCTTTCGGAGTCTTGCTTTGCCTTCCACATGTGGGGGAAAAAGCCTGGCTCGGAGATTCCTGAGCGAATGTGTTTAGAAGATTTTATTTTATTTTATTTGTTTATTTTTTTTTAGTTACATTCTTCATCAGTATTATTTATTTACTTCTTATATTTATATTTATTTCTTTATTATTTGTATATATTGTATGAATGTGAACTCTTAGCTCTAATACTTATAGCCCCCCAACAGTGGCTGATTGTATTATTATTCACTAAATAGATTTGTTTTTAAAAATTATTCAATAAATAAATAGTTCAATTTACGTTATATTTAAAACAATAATTTATTGTAATAAATAAAATAAAATATTTTCTTTTTCTTATGTTATAATATGTTTCATGTTCTTTTCTTATGTTCTGTTTCTTGATGTGGGGGTATACGGCGGATTTTGGTATAGGAAATTGTCACTTTACAGTGAAAATATTCATGGCACAGGCGGATCTACGGGGGGGACTTTCGGGCTGAAGCCCTCCCCCCAAAATGGTAAAATATAACCATGTATTAAAAACTATCTCTTAAACTATTATTGTTCGTGTAATTACATTTAATAGCACTTCAAGAATCACTAAGACACAATCTCATATGGGTAGTTAGTTTCTTTCTTCTTTTTTTTTTCAAATTAATTATTGTTATATACATGAAAAAAAATCCTTCGGGCTGCAGCCCCACCAAAATTAAATCCTGGATCCGCTGGTGATTCATGGTATAGTAAATAAATGTGTTCACATATAGTTCTTGATCCCTTTTTATCGACTTGTTAACATCCGCCTTAAATTTCGTAAATAGTTTCATCTCATCTTAATCAACAACTTTTTTATTTACGAAAACTCTAGGAATTAGGGAGTTTTCAATCTGGGGGAGGGGCAAAACGCCTTTTGTCTATTAAATTAGATACTTCAAACTCGTAAATACCCATTTGTTTTCTACTTGTATCGTGAGGTAATTTGTTAAAAAAATCGAGAAAAAAGGAGGCCTTCAAAAATATTGAGTAGTTTGACGTGACCTACACCCCCAAAATTTCAAAATAACGAGGTTATATAGGGCAAACAGGCCAATATTTTTGTAGGCCACCTTTTTTATCGATTTTGTGATCAAATTATCTTACGATCCAAATAGAATTCAAATGGGTATTTACGAGTTTTTAGTATTTAATTAAATAGACAAAATTGGCCAATTTTCTAATCCCAGGTTTATTGCAAATGTTGTAACTTTTATTTATTCAAGTTCTTAATAAATTTTCTGTGAAAAATAAAAAGAAATTGAGCTTAGACTAGAGTTATAATTTGTCTTAAATGAATTACACATGATTCTAATGTCTCGTTTCTTTAAGTAGCTATGAATATAAGTCATTTTTAGATCGACTTTTAAGCGAAATCGACAGAACTTTTATAATGATATTTTTTTTTTTTCATAAGAGATCAGTAAAACCTTTACTTGAAAAGTTGTAAGGGGAAAAGTGTTATGGTTCCAAAAAAAAACTGAAAAACTATCGATAGTAAAAATTGCAATGATATTGAAACTTTTAATTGGTTAAATTAAACTTTAAGCTGGTTAAAAGTCCCCCGGGGCATTGGGAAGCTTACTTGTAAATTTTGTTTTATTTTACCTCTCTTATAGAGAATGAGGTACTGATCTTCCAATGCTCAAGATCTTGGGTTCGAATCCCGTCTCAAGACAGAAAAATCATTTATTCTATTCATTAGCCGTGGGGCGACTCTGAGATTACGAGAGCCACCCTCCTGGGGCACTACCAGTTTCTATAAAGTTAGTACCCTTAATTAAATAATTAATTTAGGGAAAAAACCAGGCGGTTGAGCGTGATCTCGGTCAAATCACCTTCTTGTAAAACCGTTGACTAAGAAACAGTACTTACTCTAAATAGTACTGAATCCATGACTCCTCATGGGTTACATTATTTTATTTTTTTTTTTACTTTACTCTCTTATTAGGAATCTTTTTTGAACGACCAATCGTAGTATAAAGAAAAATGTTAATGAATATTAAACATATTCGACCTAAAAAACAGGAAAACGTTTCAAATTATTACAAAATGATTTATTACTTCTCAATATTTATAAATAAATCATGTGTCACCTGTCAGATTACTTTCCTTACTGCTTCGGAGAAAAATCTATTTGTATATTTGTTTTTTTAAATTTTTGTTTACAACTATTAACAAATTATTATAGAAATGGCCTATAGCAGGTAATATAGCATAATATTAATTTTATTTCTTGTCTTTTTACAGGTAAGTGACCTTATTATCGTAACATTGATAAAAGCTGTTGTATAAAGGTAAGTGGGAATTGAAGGTAAGTGGTATAATAAAACCCATAAGAAATGAATCCATATGAGTCGTTTATTTCCAAACTGAACATGCCATTGCTAATTTTTCGAGAAACGCGGAAAAATATATTTTCTATTACAATCGTAATATCAAAACCAATATTTTCTAAAAAATAAATTAAGAAGTTATTTATTTGTTGCTCATATTTCTGAAAAATCACTGATTATTAAAAATATAATTTTAAAATTTTTAATTTAAATAGCCTCCGTTTTGGAAATAATTAAACATCATGATCCGTTTTTGAACAAAAAAAAAAATTATTTTGGTTTGTTTTGGATAGAAAAAAAAAAATTAGGTACTAGAACTATAAAATTGAATTTTTTCTAATTGTTTGTTTCTTTTGTCATTACAGACCGTGTAGATCTTTTGCCGCCTTAACAAGCCTGCTCCATCTCTATCTGTCTTGGGCTATTTCATTCCATTTATCTACACGCAGCTCTTTTACATCTTTGTTAATTCTGTCTATCCATCTGCTTTTTGGCCTTCCACGTGGTCTTCTGCCTTCTATTGAGGCGTTCATTGTTATGTAGAGGCTTCCAGATGGATTGCTACGAGCTACATGCCCCGTCCATCTTAACCTCCGTGCCTTCATATCATGGGATATTGATTGACCAGTTTCTGTAAGCAGTTCTTTATTGGTCTTTCTTCTCCAAGTGTTAGTGCTCTGATCCCAGATCGCTCCGATTATCATTGCATTGCACACCCTTAGTTTGGGATGTTTTTGAGGATTTCAATTATCTTTGAGAGGGAGAAGAAAGCTCTGTTTGCGCTAGTTATACGCTGGTTTATTTCTGCTCCCTGAGGTTATTGTGGAGCCAAGGTATTTGAATTTTTCTACTCTCGGGAATGATTTCTCTTCTACGCAGATCCTGTTATTGGGGTGGAATAATATCATCAGCAAATATTTGTTCAGCAGAGTACTAACACATGGAGAAGAGAGGCCAATAAAGAATTGCTTATCAATGCCCGATGATATGAAGTCACGGAGGAGAAGATGGGCGGGGCTTGTAGCTCGTAGCAACCCATCTGTAAGCCTCTACGTAACAAAGAATGCCTTAATAGAAGGCAAAAGACCACGTGGAAGGCCAAAAAGCAGATGGATAGATAGAATCAAGAAATATGCAATAGAACTGCGAGCAGGTAACTGGAAAGAAATAGCACAAGATAGGCAGAGATGGAGCAGGCCCCTTGAGGAGGTAAAAGATCTAAATAGCCCGTAATGCCAAAAGAAAAATAAGATTATCTATTGGTCAACTTATCGAATCCAAAACTTTAGAGTAAAAACAGTAGAAATATTTTATAATGGTAAATGGTTGACTGTCGTGGATAATGAAGAGAAGAATAGTTGGGGTGGTCAGTCAAAAAAGAAGGCAAAAATAAATGATAATATTTATTTTTACATATGTCGACGTTTCGACCTGAAGTTCAGGCCATCATCACAGCTAAGAAAAGAACAAGATAACAAGGTATGAGAAATATAAAAATTACAGTAAAATGAAGTTGCTAGAATAATGACAATGTGTGGAATGATGAAGTAAACATAGTCAAAAAGGGGACATGAGTATTGTAAAGGGAATCTTAGAATAAAATGTAAAACAGAAAAATATGAAGTTATATAAGAAATGGGAATAAATAGTAAAATTAAGATATAGTGAATAGAATATTTAGACAGAAAATTGAGATGTTGTGAAGTCTATCAATATGTACATACAAAGTATGAAATAATAAAGAGTTAAAACAGAGAAAAGGAAGAAGAGGAAGGAGGAGAGAAACTGAGAAGGTTGAAATAAGAAAGAGAATAAGTAAGAGAAATGGTAACAACCTGACTGCTCTAAGGTAAAGATGCAATGCAGCTAGAAATATTTTATTACGATCTAATCTATTTGAAGACAAAATAGTTTATAAAATTGCATCATTTTATTTCAAGGGTAAGACTTTAAGTGCTCATTTAAATTTTCAAGAGTTCTTGCTGGTTTATAAAAATGTAAACGGTAATGATAATGCGATTAGAAATCTTGATTATTCAGGAATTCTGGTTACTCGTCAACTATTTTTCTTTGAAAGGACATTTGAAGGATAAAAACGGCATGATAATAGTCAGTTGCACAATAGAAGGAAAAATAATTAATTTCTAATACTAATCGCATACAGCATGAATAGAATAAGGAAAATTATTCGAATTATTTGTACTTTCCTACCACTACTAGGTGAGAAAAGTATTGCGATTGCAATATAAATTTTCATTGTGCAATTTCCAACAAATCTTAACATTTCAGAGCTCCCGAGTCCAAAAAATTGCCTGGTCGGTCAGTCTGTCTGTGCCAAGATTATCTCGGGAACGAGAATCATGAGAAGATCGTTTATATTGCTTCTTTTTTGTTTTTAAGTTTTTGGCTACCAATGCATGTGAAGCAATTTGAGCGTTTCCTGTGAAATATTGTAGTCCGTGTTACAGATCCTTTTTATCAAATTATTAACATCGATGGATAGCTTCATCATGTCGTAACCTAAAAAATATTATATTTATGGAAATTCTCGGTTTTGGGTCGCTTTCAATCTGGATATCGGCAAACTTTGTCTATTTAATTAGGTACTTAAAACTCGTAAATACCCATCGTAAGATAATTTGAGCACAAAGTCGAGAAAAAGGGTGGACTTCAAAGATATTTATACGCCATATTTTTTCTCGATTTTGTGATCTAATTATCTTACGATCCAAGTGGAAAGCAAATGGCTATTTACTCGTTTTTAGTACCTAATTAAATAGACAACGTTTGTTGACCTTCAGACTGAAAACGCCCCAACTCCACGATAACTCTTGGAATAAAATAGTTGCAGGTTACGATGAGATGAAAATATTTACGAAGTGTCAAGTGGATGTTAATAATTTGATAAAAAGAGGTCTGTAACACGAAATGTTGGCTAGGCAATAAGGAAAAGGTATATTTTTCTATAAACTGTAGCGCAAAACCCCCCTAACGATTTTGATGAAATTTTCCAATGAAATGTTGTATTTAAAATCAATCTTTGTACATCTAATGAATTGCCGATTTAGGGGCCTGATACTATGTTATGGGAATCGTAGTTTTTGAAAGCACTATCAATTCTAAGATTATTCTCTCGCGTATTGATTAATTTTCGCTATTCGGATTCCTTCAATTATGTCATGGGAGGCCTAAATTTGAAAATACTATCGAAACTAAGCTTATTCTTTTCCTTATCGATGAATTTTCATTATTAGGATTTCTTCGACTTAGGGGTATTTTATATGTTATCGGAGGCTTAGTTTTTAAACTGGGCACATACTTAGTTGGATTCAATTTGCGAAGACGGCTCTAAACTAGTTTCTACGCCTCCCCTCTTTTGCTCCTCTGCTATGCCTGCCCTGGCTTGAATTTTCAGGCTGCCTCAATTCCAGATTCTTTACAACTTTCAAGCAAATCTACGGTTCAATCACTCTTGCAATGAGCACATTTTCTCGAAAGCTAGAATATCGAACTTGTCTTCTAATAGTTCTTTGATGAGACTTGAATTAATCTTCTGCTTTTTAGTAAAACACATGTTTTAAAAGTAATAGGTAAATTTGTATGCCAAGCAGTGACGTTAAAATGAAAAATATTCCTACACATGGTTCCTGGATTAAACAAAAAAGGCTGGAAAAGAACATCTGGCTAAATATCTTTAAAAAAAAAATACTTTGAAGGGTCTCTTACAAAAAACACACACACACACATACACAAATACAAAAAAAATCCTATAATCACTAAAAATATAAATTCAAAGACATTCTTTTTAAAAAATTGTTTTGTTAATCGTTTATCAAGAATGGGAATACTATTCTTTATGTGAGTATAATATCCAATTTCCACATAAATAAAACACATGTGTTTAGATTTGATCAATTTAAACTCATTGTCAAAATGCAGTTCCAATATTAATTCGAAATATTTTTATTTAAATACTTTAAATACATTTTTAATTCAATTTTACTGAATTAATTCCCAAAGGATGTATCCTGTTTCATATTGTATCTATTTCTCAACGTTAGCGCTATGTTGAGGTCGTTACGTAACTTGGATGGACATCTTTCACCGAGTAACCTGAGATCTTTAGATTCACATTAATTAAAAGTCGGATGAATATTCTGTATGATGCATTGATTTTCAAATAACGCGAAGCAGAATACGCTAAAAGTTTATTAAAAATAGAAATGAACAACACATGTTCAATAAATTGATCATGTTATATTAAAAGACATTATTTGTTATTGTTTTGATTTAAGCTTATTTTTAATTTATTTTATTTTTTAACTTCAACAGGTATTACGAAACTTTTCCTTGATGTCAGCTCTTAGAAAAAATGAGTTACTTCTACGCGAAATCATGTGATTTTGTCGAAACTCTAAAAATGTTTCAATTGGAACAATCACAATCACATGGGGAGGGGAAGATTGCAACATTTCAGCCAAAACGTTTCATCGAAAACATCAGACTCTCATCGTTTCTAAATTCGGACTGCGATCAAATGGATAGGCTGATAAGTGTTTTAAATAAGCTTCAAGATGTCATGGCGATAACGGGGAAGGATACGCTACAGTTGCCGCAGATTGTCGTCGTCGGGGATCAGAGCTCTGGGAAGAGTTCGGTACTCGAGGGCTTGGTCGGGAAGCCGTTCTTGCCGCGCGGTGTTGGAGTAGTGACGCGAAGGCCGCTTCTCATCCACCTCGAGTACCTGCCGAAGAAGAAAGGGAGAGGAGACGAGGAATCTGGTAGTGACCATGTCGTCTTCAGCCATGATTCGAGGGTCTTCAAGAACTTCAGGGAAGTGATGAAAGAGATCGAGGAAGAGACTGATCGAGCTGCGGGCACTAACAAAGGCATCTGCTCAGAACCGATCGTCATGACGATATATTCAAGGAACGCCGCTTCTAATCTCACCCTCATAGATCTCCCGGGGATAATCAAAGTTCCGATGGGAGACCAACCTTCGGACATCGAAGACGTCCTCAAGGCTCTAATCCTCAGGTATATTTCCAACCCTAACTCTATCATCCTAGCTATAGTCACCGCTAACACTGATATAGCCACGAGTGAGAGCTTGAAAATGGCCAAGGAAGTGGATCCAGAAGGTGTGAGAACCCTCGCAGTGGTAACCAAGCTGGACATCATGGACACCGGAACCAACGCGACCGACATCCTCTCTGGCAAAGTGATTCCCGTCAAGTTGGGCGTAGTCGGCGTCGTCAACAGGTCTCAGAGAGACATCGTTCAAGGGATCAGTATCAAGGAGGCCGGTATTCAGGAAATGAACTTTTTCTACAAATACTATCCCCAACTGGCCAATAAACATGGCACTTCATACTTAGCTCGGACTTTACAAGAATTGCTCATCGATCATATAAAAGCCAACTTGCCACAGCTGAGACAGAGGATCCAAGAATCTATGGAGCAGCACAAGTCAGTCCTCCAGAGATTGTCTGGAGCGGATATCTCCGCGCCGGGAGAATGTCTCCTCAACCTTCTGACAAGTTTCTCGAACACATACTGTGCCAAAATTCAAGGCACGGGGAACGAACTGGAAATGAGCGAACTGGGAGGCGGTGCTAGGATAAGCTATATATTCCATGAAACCTTCGCAAGCGCACTTAACTCCATAAACCCATTAGCGGGATACAACACTTCAGCCATTCTAACGGCCATAAAGAACGCTTCAGGAACTAGACCAGGGTTGTTCATGTCGGAAAGCTGCTTCGAACTTTTGGTTAAGAAACAAATAACTCGCTTAGAAAGTCCTTCGTTGCGCTGCGTACAACTCGTATACGACGAACTGGAGAAGATAATCTACAGCAGTTGTCAAAGTCAGAATTTGGCTATGGCCCGCTACCCGAAACTTCATCAGAAAATCTTGGAAGTCGTTATCAAGATGTTGAAAAGCAGACTTCCTGAAACCAATAGCCTCGTAAAGAAGCTGATAGAGATTCAAACGGCCTACATCAACACGGCCCATCCAGACTTCCACATAAACGGTCAAGATCACATGGGAACGGACTATCAGATAGTTCCTTTCAAGGAGGAGGACCACCCTAGGGAATCTGGAGTCACAATCGAGAATCTGGTCATCAAGTACTTCAACATCGTGAGGAAGACAATTCAGGATGCTGTGCCGAAGGCCATCATGCACTGCCTCGTCAATTATTCGATGAACCACATCCTCTCCGAACTGGTGAGCATCTTATACTCCCCCGGGAAGGCGGAACAGTTCCTCGAAGAGTCGGCAGACATCGCAGAGCAGCGGGCTTACGCTCTCAGGATGTTAGAGGTCTTGGAGAACGCCAACTCCATCATCACAGAAGTGAAGGAAGGTTACTGCTTGGTTTAGGGAACGGGTGTAATCCATAGGTTGTACAGTCCAAATGAAATTTCGCAATACACAAAGAACAAAATTTCGTATAATTATTTTATTTATTTATTATGGTTGGTAGTGATATAAGAGACAGATGTTTATATCCTAATATTGCCATCTTGTCACACTAACTCGCACACACTAAGCGAAATGTTTAACTACAGTCAGCAATGTGACTGATATGTTAACAGAACGTCTCTCCACTTCTCTCCTTCCTCCCCTCTCAAACAAAAAAAAAAATGAAACAATAATAATGAAATGATTAAATGATAAAATATTGTTTGTTTCATTAATTGATTGTGTATTCAGAGTTATTTATGTTATAACATAACAGTGGTTAGTTATGTTGAAAACATTTAAATCGAAGTATAATGTAGTTTACAAATTACCATATTTCTCGAATTTAAACTTTTTTTTAAAAAATCACCGCATTTTGTTTTCCTCCTCAAAAATAATAAATCTAACATGACGAAAATAAGAGAGGATAATAATTCAGCCAGTATAGTAAGTTGTTAAACATTTTGTCGAGGGAGCTTTAGTTAAATCCCACTTAAAAACAAAAAAATAGTGAATTATGCTCTTACAGGGTTAGTATATTGTTAGGTATACCATTGGCCTAGAAAATAGAAAACTAGGCCACCACAGTTTGATACAGGCCTCAGAGATGAACCTAATAGGGTGAGGTAATCATATCGTGTCATCATGTGGGTGCTCCCAGCCCACCTCTGTGCCTCCTCAATCATAGTCATCCGGAATTCCAAGGATCCGCTTCGGAGGCCGATAAAGGAAATGCTCAAAATGGACTCATTCAATGTAACAATAAGGCAGAATGATTCAATATTCTATCAACGATCTTCTTAAGTTATTTAACTATATCGTGTATCAATATAAATAAAATAAAGGTTTTGTCTGTAAATAGAATCAACCCGTTTCATACAATACAGACACCAAATCCATTTTTATAAACATTTTTGTCTGTCCCCATTGTCCAACGAAATTTTGTCATAGGTAAGCTCGGCAGTGGCTAATGGTAGACTTTTAAAATTTTGACATTATATTTAGGTTTGCTTTACTTAAAATGTAGGCTTTAAATGAAAACAAAATATTGAGTAGAACCAAAGTTATGAATTATTGTATACATTTTTCGGATTAACCAAACGGATTAGCCGGAAATCAGGGAAAAAAAAAGCTCCCGAAATTTCACCCCGCCCACCACAATATTCAGATCAAGTTCTAATTTTACATGGATGTAAGTGACTCAATGTCCAATGTTATTTTACCAGCGATAAACTCAGCAGATTTTAAAGAAGTGGAGAGACTACAACTATTTTTGATTAATTAATCGACTCCACAATCTCCTCACTTCATCATAAATGAAAATTAAACACTAAAAAATTTTAATGAATCGGTGATGGTTGGTTTGGTTGTGTGTGAAATCTAGACTTCCATAAGCCCCGCCATCAAAAACTTCAAAACAACTTCCCTTCCCTCTCCATGCCCAATTTTATGAAATTTAATTTGGACTCTCTCCCCATAATACAAAATACATCTCAAGAAAAGATTCTCAAATTTTAACTATACACCCGTCAACGACGAGTACATCAGCTAATAGAAATAGAAAAATAACTTTATTCTGGAACACAGTCCCTTGAGAATAACAAATTAGAACAAAATTAAAATATTACATCTGGCCAAAACAAAATAAATTGAAAAAAAGAAATAATGTAAAAAAATATAAGGTAAAAACTCTATATACAAAACAAACTAAACTATATACTACTAAACTATATACAGCTAGTATAGAATATAACAAAACAAAGCCTTAAGTCTCTCAAATATCCTTAAAAAGTACAAATTGCGTAATGATATGTCATGTAATACAACGAGGTGGGTCCTTCAGTACTAAGCGGTATAAAAAAAAAATAAGTGGCGAATAGGGTCAGTTTGCTTCTCTTCTTCACCATATCTATTGATCGGATAATTGCTTGTATTTCAAGGTCAATGTTTTTGTCGTTGAGAATGAAATCGACAATAGAAGCCGTTCTTGAAGTATAGTTTTGTAAAAGAAAAAGGCAAGCCTCAACGAAAGAAGTAGACGAAATACTATAAACTCAATATTGGACAGATATGGGCAATTGCTACTCTGAGTACTGAGCACCAAGTAGTTTACTCAAATACTGACCTTTCTTGAGTACCAAAGAATTTAATTACTACTTTAGTTTATGTCATACGATTAACTGAAATAGTGAAATAAAGTGAAAATATTTTTTTATAATCCTGGGACTGTTGTCCCTTTAGGACAAATTATACATACAAAAAAGAATTGCCTGTGTGGCTAAACTTTAAATTAAATATTTACAAATCTGATTAAAATTAAAATATTGGAAGAAGCAAAAAACATTAACACTAAAAACATACAGATATATCAATAAAACAAACATGGGAAAATAAAATAACATAAGTAAAGAAAATCATTTCTGGGGGAACTTAAAAAATTCTCTTCTCTACATTTCGTGATTAATCGGATTAGAAAAGGAGTAGGTGGTTAAAAAGGAGGGATTTAAATGAGGAAACTAATTGTGCATGTCGGATATCGGGATGGATGGTATTCCAGAACGAGATGGCTTGAATTATAAATGATTTGTCAAACACAGCAGTTCGGTGAGGAGGTGTATAGAGGTCGGAATTGCGAGATCTAGTGGGACGGGATTGAATGGAATATTTAAATTTAGGCTGTGAAAAATACAGGAAGGCCGCTGAGTTCTGATGGCTTGGTATAGAAAGGTAGTAGGGAAGTACATACGGCGGTTGCATAGATAGTGCCACCTCAACTTGGTATAATACTGGGTTATATGCGTATCTCTTGTGATTCCGAAAACAAAACGTATTGCGCAGTTCGATAGGCGTTTAATTTTGGCCTCGAATTCTCCCGAGACTCCACCGTACACAAGAGAGTAGTGATTGAATACCCAAAAGTGAGTCGATATGAGTAAAATACTTGGTACTCGGTACTCAGAGTAGCATTTGCACATCTTTGATATTGGACCATCTACTCAAAATACTTGAAAATCGGATTAAAAGATTTAGATGCTATCCCCTCGTACAGATTCCACTAAAGAAAGACATACAATTTAAATACCTATATAACCTCTCTTCCCATATATTGAATGTTTACTAAATTTAAAAGCCCTTTTTTATCTTAACAGCTAGATACATTAATTTTAATTGCTAAATGGAACTTGATGAATTTGATACTAGACCGAGCTGTTTTCGAAATATAGGTATACAAATTTGAAAATAAATCTAGGCCAAAGTATTTTTTGAAATTAGAATGAAAATTAATTACACTGTTACATACTTGATATATTTTTCTTCAATCCCCACCTTCCTTCCAATTTTGGGCCAGGCCATTTCTGAGACTTGCTTATCAAAGAAAATACGCCGTGGACTATCTCAAACTTATAAACATTAGAAATAAATTTAATGAAATGAAGAATGCGTAATTAAATGACCTTGTAGTGAAGCTAATGTCGAATTACTCTTAAAACCTGAAAAATAATAAACAAAAACTAATCTTACCAGAAAAAATAATGTAGTTTAATTTATAGGTTGAAAGCAAACTGAAAGTAACCTAAACCATATATAATTCTCATATTGCAGATTTAGTTTAAAATATTATCAAATCAAAACTGTGGTATTGATAATTTATCAATATTTTAATCATCTTAATATTTATAAATTAATAATGGAGTTTTTTCTCTGTAGAACAAACTAAGCGATTAACTTGAAAATACTTTTTATTTAAGTGTTTTGATATAACAATAAGAGAAACATGTATACTGAGATTCGCCATTTTTATGAATACTTTCGTCGTAAATTATGTTATAAAAGTTTTGAAAATTTCTGAAGTTTGGTAAAAAATCTACAATTGTTTCTCCAAAATCTGGGAACCTTATAACACCAAAACATTGACAAATTAAAGGCATCGCATTTAATTTTCACATATGACTCCTACAATGTTGTTTTTTTTCAGTGTCGGCTTTATACATTTCAAAAACACCAGAGAAGTACAAACAAAAACAAGAACCGGGGAGGTTAGACGTATCTATGTCCTGAGAAACAAATATGACTGCTGTTCGGAATTTTCCTAACCTATAACAATTTTTAAAAAAGAAACCAAAGAAAACAAAAGAAAATGCATGAAGGCGTAAAATTCGTTAAAAGACGTTGTTGATGAAGAAAATTCATTTACAGTAACCATTAAATTCAATATCTCTCAATCGGCACAAACAATAAAAATGTCTGAAAGCGACACAAGCACTTACCCAAACTCTTTTGATTTTTCTCGAAAAACTGACTAAATTGATCGGGCAAAAAGAGAAACAAAAGCGCTATACTAGAGAAACTTTTAGTGAGAAACCGATTTAGACTTTTAGTATATTTCCCATAATTTGTGAAACGTCTAAACGTACCTTAAAGCATAGAGGAGAAAGATGCAGAAGGCATAAGTTGTTACAATAACAGCTTTAAAAGATAAACGGACATAGGAGAGATGACAAAATAATCTCCGTGAAATGAGCGATTGAGCGGAGAACAATAGAACTAACTCGCCCTCAAATGGTCGCCATTGTAATGCTCCTTAGACAATGGATCCAATTTAGGAGCCATTCAAAGTGAGTAGGTGCTCCTGTAAAGAATGAAGAATATTATTTTAATCCTCTAAGTGTACTTAAAAACAATATTTTTTTATTATTATTTTCAAAAATAACCTTTATAATCGGTAAAGACAAAAAGTAAACCCCTCCTACCATAAATTAGAGATTTTACTTTTCCATTATAAAAATCAAGCGAGCACCTAATAAATTGAAAAAGAATATGAATTCAAAATCTGGTGCCTGTGGAATTTTTAACCCTGGCATTAATCCCGCGCACTCTCCCCTTGTCCTGGGAAAACCGCATAAAGCCTAAAAGACAAG